CCAGTCTGTCACTGATGGACATTTGGGTTGATTCCAAGTCTTTGCTATTGTGAATAGTGCTGCAATAAACATACATGTGCATGTGTCTTTATAGCAGCATGATTTATAATCCTTTAGGTATACATATGTAACAAACCTGCATGTTATCCACATGTACCCTAGAACTTAAAGTATAATAAAATAAATAAATAAATAGATAAATAAATAAAAATAAAATAAAATAAAATAAAAAAAGAAGCAGTAAGAAAGACCTCCAGCCCCACAGTTATTTGAATCAATGAAGCCTGAGCCTCTAACATAATTTCTGCTTTCCTGGGACTCTAACCTAGCTTCTTACAAACAGAAAGCACAGAATCCTAATGCAACCTCCATCTACAACTCTAACCCAGCTTCTAGAACACACACAGAATCTTAATAACAACCTGTCCTTGCTGATCATCAACATCATTCAGAGTAATGCTTCAAGAGTCTGACCCACCAATGGATCCCACCAATGGATCAATCAATCAGGAGTGAAGACAAAGCCTTCAAAGGTACACAATTAGAGTCCTAAGTGAGATGTCCAGGGTTCCAGTGATGAATCTGATCATAATCAAGTCAGTGAAAAAAACCAATATACCATGTCTTATTCATATATAATACATTGTGCAACTGAGCATTCAGGTGTCAAAGTCCTCTAGCCAATAACCACCAGGAGCACTTCTGGATTGAAAAAGTTAGATTTCTTACTTGTTTCAATGGGAGAAAGCGCACACCATGGGGAACTGAGAGAGGTGTCTTATTGTCAGGGTGTTTTGTATTTTAGGATTTGGGCTTGAGTCAGGAGATTTGAGGGAAGGATCAGGGAAGTGAGGCTAACCTCTGGATTGGATGCTGTCAGCAAATATGAACAATGCTAAGATTAGGTTTCTTGATAAACAGTATCTAAAAGGAGGGCAGACTACTGTGAAGCTTAACCTGTAATTCATAGTGAAGCAGCAATCACTGAATGAGAGAGAGGAATGCTTAGTATTCTAAGGTTTGCACACTAACTCTGGTTTTGTCTGTGCTTAAAAAAAAAAAGAATATGCATTGGTTTTTCTTTTTACTCTCAATTCATCAGTCACTGAATGGCCTTGTCTGATGCTGGTGTTTTGTGAGATTGTGTCCAACAGGAAAACACCATTGCCTAACTGTGAGCATCCAGTCACCCTCTAACAACTCTGAAACTTGGCTGTGTCAAACCAGTACCCAGATGTCAGGAGTTCCTTTCCTCTTTCTTACCACATGTGCTAAGTCATTACAGATAAGAAAAAAATTCTGTCAGTTGATAGGAGAGTTTGGCGGAATCAAACTGAACATTTGTATCTATTAAGTATTGATTAGTCTATCCATGTTAGAGAAAACTGTAGTCTTTAGTATTAAGCACAAAACTAGTGTCTTATTTAAAAAAGAAACAAGTAGGAAATCTAGTTATTAGTAGGAGCACAAGGAAGTATTAGGTAAAATCTGAAGTGTCTGTCACTTGGATTGTCTAAACATTGGACAACCACCCGATAGTCCCTAAGAAATGCCATTTTTATGTTGCTCATAGTTATTTTTTATTTGAAAGAAAATAAACTGATTAAGATAAAGGAGATATAGTAGGCAAGGTAAGTAGTTGGATGAAATCATAGGAAGCGTGATTAGTTGTGACCAATTGCAGAAGACTCAAGTTGATTCCATCTCAGGGAAACCGTTTGCCTTTCAGGTAATCCTGAAGCCATTTGGGAATATCTGTAAGAGAAAAAAATATTGTCAAGAGGCTTCCACAAAGGATGAAGAATGTGGATTTATTCTTCAGAATCTGAGGGAACTAACAAGTGTCAAATGTCAACAAAACTCAGGGGATTCGAAAGGAACATGGGATTGTAATTACGGGAAGATAAACAACCAATTTCTGTCCTTAAAGATTTTGGAAATACAGCCCTAGACGGAAGCCCAGGCAGGTTGGAACTTTAAAGAGAGCTAGAAGAAAGTCAATACATATGAGTTTTCCTATAATATGGCACAGAGATCCAGCCTTCTTCTGATAAGAGCGAAAACCCATTTTCTCACTCATAGTCTACTCTACAGATTATTGACAGAGTTCCAAGCACTAACCCAGACATGAGAAAGTATAAAGCAATATTTAAAGATTTCTTAGGGACTTTGATTGTATGGGTGCAATTTGAACCCTTTTTCTTTCTGCCCGTGTGCTCAAAGGAAAGTTTCTCATTGTAATTCTCCATTTGTTTGAATGCAATTTCCTTTTTCTTTCTGCCTATGTGATCAAAGGAAAGTTTCTCATTGCAAGGCTTCCATTTCCTCATCTTTAAAATGTTTATTTCATAGAATGACTGTGATATTTAAATTATAATATATATGTAAATTTTATGACACAGTTCCTGGCATATGTTCAGATTGAACAAATGTTGTCATCAATACTACGTGAAAGTTAAAGTTCAAGAAAAAGTGAACCCAGAATAGGAGGAATGTACACTGATCCTCAGTGAATGTCCAACACCCCAGAAATACCCTGAAGAGCACTCAAAATAATCTGCCTCAAGAAAGATTGTAAAATCACTCCTTGCTATTTTCTGTTTTGGCAAAATTCTCTAAAGGAAACAAAGATTTTACTAGATTACCTGATTTTTAAATTGCCTGATTTAAACACACACACACACACACACACACACACACACACCCCCTACCTGATTTAAAAAATAAGTAAATAAGCAGTTACCTAGCTTCATGGAGAAACTTATTTTGGTCTTTCCAATGATGTTTCTACTAACGAAGAGTTTTCCTTAATAAATGCCAATATTTCCAGATCTGTTCAGGTAATATTGGTAACCTAAAAGTCAGGTAACCTCTTGACTCTTCTGGTATTTGTCTATTGACTTGACTTAGAAAACTACAAGGAATTAGAGAACAACGTAAAGAAGAGGTCTCCCTGACCTCAAAAATAGGGTCTCTGTGAGAATAGAGAAACCAAGGAATCAAGGAGCCACATAAAGGAAGCACACAGATGGAGGAGTCTTGCTACCTAGAATGCCTCTGTGAGCAGTGGTAGAAGCAGCGGTGGTTGCAGTGGTAGGAGCAGCAGTGGTCGTAGTGGTTGCAGCAGCGGTGGTTGTAGTGGTTGCAGCAGCAGTGGTTGCAGCTTCAGTGGCTTCATCATCGTCAGAGCCAGGTGAAATTAGAAGGAAAAGCTCTAGGTGAGACTGATTCCTTCTGGAACAAAATTTATCCCACCCAGGGGTGGATATACATTCCTCCTCCTAAATTCATCTCTGCAAATCTGTCATCAGTTCTGTCTTATCTTTAGCCTACCTGCCCTCTTTCCTTATGCTTCACCCTTCCCCGTCCTGTCTTTGCTGGTACAGAAAGAATTTGGGATTTCCCTCCAAGGGCAGTGACACCAATTAAAGAGACAAGCAAGTACTTTGTCCCAGGTATAAGCACAAAAGAGCAAGACCATGAGTGTTCCTATTCACAGGGACTACCGCTCAGAAGCAATAAGGAAATCTCTAGTAGCCTGACATTCTGATGCCTTCCCACAGAGTAACCTAAGACAGCATTCATTCCAATGCAGCATGAATGAGTGTGAGTGAACTCTAGAGGGAAGGAGGAGGCAGACTGAGAAGATGTATCTCATCTTGGAGTTATATCTCCTGTCTTAGTGCAGTAAGATATCTTCTATCAGATTCTAGAATGAAAAGAGCCATATTTGTCTCACCCTTTGTGACAACTTGGACTCTGTTTATCAGAGAGGTAATTGTGAGAGCCACATTAGATATAACAGGAGAAATATTACTTCTGACAGTAATAAAAATGCCCCATCCATTACTATGTGTAAAAAGGGACTGGGTAAGAGTTATGAAAATTCTCTCTCTCTCTAGACCTTACACCAGAGCTATTGATAAGAATCAAGAGTCAGATCCCATATTTGTGAGTTAAACCCACCTCAGCAAATAAGTAGCTCCACCTCCAAACCCACACTCTATCCATGCTGTCTTAGGCCTTATTTAAGAGAGAATATTTTTAAAATGGGGCCTCACATGGCAGGAAAAATATATGTGAGGTCTGACTAAAGCTAATGCCCTTGTGACCAAGATGTGAAGGATAAAGACAGACCCCATTAACTTATGCATGGGCACAACACACACACAGTACAGAATGTGAAGAACACTTTGGGAGAAGCCCAAGAATGACTAAAGACTTTGGTCCACGACTTTCATTTTCAGGTTAGAGAAGGGAAACAAACATCAGCCTGGGAATAAGGAATATACACCATTTCAAAGAGTAAAGCTTAGACCTCTTCTTCTACCTGACCCCTGCACTCCACATCCCACACACCACCCTCGCTTGTGATCCAAATGGACTTATTTTTATATCACTTCAAAATTACAGTATCTTCCTTCATTCTGAGACCCACTGGCCTCTTTTTGACACTGGCTATATATTCAGTCCTTCCATTTATTAAAGGCATCTCTCAAAAATTCTCAGGCTACAACATCAGACCTCATGCTCTTGTGCCTTCTGCTGAAAAACAATGAATAATAAGTCCACATTTGTATAAGTCTATGGCCTAGATTTCATATGTTCTAAGAATGTATAAGACGTAAGCAGATTCACTATGTTTGTGGTGAATTTTAAAATCAGGAATATAGCTTTCACAGGCTTTTGCTTAGGATTCCTTATAACCGAGACTGCCCACATGGAAACTGGCTATTTGACTTGAGGCTGGAAGTGGAAAATGGTCATTGCAGGAAAGAGATGACATTCAGGTGCAGACTCACTAGCTGGATGCGTGTCAGCTGGAGCAGATGTTGTTGGACTCTCTGAAAGAGAAGAAGCAAAAATAAGATGTTAGCTGAATGCCAGTTTGGAGGATAGAGGTAAGAGAGAATATGGACAATATTTCAGACTTTACAATGGAAGACCCTCCGTCCTTGGTGTACCAGTTGAGGCAGAACCAGTGCACAGATAAGATAAGAAAACCAATAAAAACCTAATATGTGGTCATTTTTCCTTTCCCAAAATAAATCTCTGATTTATTAAACATATTTTACTAACATATAACAATAAACTTGGGTTCCAAGGTATTATTGAATTAAGATCAGACTGAATTAAGAAGAGCCTAAGGATAGTCCTCTCCATCTTGAACAGTCAGTCAAAATGGTAATAGAACAAGTTAGGACAGGAGAGGTTAAAAAGCACATTCTAAGCAACCACAAGCCCACATCTTTAGAGGAGATATTTTATGTGTATTCCCACAAAACTTATGTTCAGATAAGTATCTTTACTTACGGGCAGAGACCAGAAAGGTGAAAACTCCCAAGAGTACTAGGACTGCTAAGAACTTCATGGTGGTGACCTGAAGATCAGGAAGCACAGACAAAAATGCTTCAAAGCCTAAGAGAAGGCAAGGCACTGACTTCAGGATTCCACATCCTGACAATATATATGCAGAAGGCACCAATCAGGAGCTGTCAACCAGAATCCGGGTTAGGTAATGCCAGAAAACGTTGGGACACAAACCACTGGAGAATCAACAGCACAGCCAGGGCCCTTTGGAAAGGTTGTAAATTCAAATCATTGGTTCTGACTAAACAGGTTTCAAATCGAGTCTCTTATATTAAATATGCTCCAGGCAACTTCTCTTTCAGGCTTCCTCTTACATGTAGGGTATAGTGTCTCCATAATTACCAGCTCCTCTGACAGGTTGGAGATGCCTCATAACCAGCCTTCCTGAAATCTTCCTGAAATCATAGATTCTAGGAGTCATACACTTACAAAGTGCTTAGCCCTCTGTCTCCCCCCAGGGGAATGATCAGGGTAGAACAGGCTGATCCAAAGACCATCCTGTGTAACTCAGCCTGTGCATTCTTCAAGTCATGGCCTCCCTCCTGAACGTGTAATTAGGTCATCTGACGCTGGTGCAGAGTGAGTCCAACAGTGAATGATCTAAAGAACCAAATATGACTTTACTGGATTTAGCAACCATTGTGTAAAAATTCAAAATCAAGGAGTAAGTATACAGAATAAACTAACATTTGTTAATTCATGCATCCATTTAATCAATTTTTTCATTCAAAAAACATTCATTGAGCATTCTTGTGGGCCAGACACAATGCTAGATGTTAGAAAAATAACAGTGAACAAAGCACACAAAAATTTTATTTCATACATGGTTTTGCAGGGATTCATACACTAAAAAAGTAAAGAAAGACAAAACGCCATGTATTGTGTGTGAGGTGATAAGACGTAATAAAAAAAGAATGCAGGAAGAAGAAAGGAGAGTCAGTTTAGAGATGGAAAATGGGGAGCAATTTTATAAAAGGTGACTAAAAAAGGCATTACTGAATAGGTGATATTTGAACAGAGTCTTAAGGAGCTGAGGAATCAACAATGTGGTATGTTTGGACAATGCAACGGAAAGGAAATCGTCAGTCTGAAGGAAAAGAATGGTGAGTACATGGCGAATATGATCATCCAGACCTCCCTGCAGCTGTTGAGTAGGGCCCAGCACTGCACCAAGTTACATCAGTCTACTCGTCCTTTGTCATAATGGAGCCAAGCTGCTAAGTAAAGACAGCAAGGGAGGAAAACAATCCACATTTACAGCACAACCAAGTACTGGACCCAACCGAGGCCTCAAAGAGGGGTGATGTGAAGACTTGGAATACCCAGAATCATAGGGAATTCTCCACATTTTAAAGATTTCCCTTGCTTTAAAGTTCTTCTTGTTCAAAAAAAAGTATGCCTTTTTGGGTCATACCCTCATTGGAAGGATCTCTGTAACCTGGAACAGCACTGAACATCTATTTCTCCTTTTATTGGAAAGTCTGTCTGATAACAGCAACCAGTCTACTTCCCAAAACATGCTAAGAGATCCCCATCAGGTGAATGAAGAAAGGCAGAGGAAATTCCTGAGAGTGGTCTTCAACCTCGGAAAGGCAAGTCAATGTCCTTGTCTTGGGTAAACTCACATCTGCCATGAGACACAGAGTTGTCATAATATGGTGAGAGGTTAGCATTAAAAAAAGCTAACAAAAAAAACACATATTCTGAAGGAAAAGTGAAAGAGAGAAGTATTTAAAAGAGACAAAGAAGGAAGGAAGACTTAAAAATCAGGTACTATCTGATTCTACCCCATAGGAAATAAGCCCTACAGTCACCCTTGTAAGGCCTCCCAACAAAACTGACACAAATTGAAGGGTCTTCTAGGAGATGGTTACTTATTGAGAGCCCACTGTGTCCCTCCACAGAGGCAGAGACTCACCAGACAGACTTAAGGCAATGACTGGGTTGCTAAAGAAAAAAGATTAAACATATGTATCAGTTAGGGTCCCCTGAAGAGATCAAAATCACACACTGGATTAAACAGGAAAAGTGTGATACAAAGAATTTCTAAAGTTTGATAAATGAGTAGTTATAAGGAAGTTCTATGAAACCCTAGGGTCGAGGGAGAATATCCAAGGAAGGACAACCATGGAAAGAGCCCTCCTCCCTGAAGCTGATATTCAGAACTCACTGGAGAAGCAGCCCTCTGGGTGGCAGAGAAGTGTGCTGGTTTGCCCAAGCTGAAGCTGGTCTGCAGTTGCTGGGGAAGCAGACCACCTGCAACCAGTGGCCTGAGTGTGCAGAGGACATGAAGGCTCAGGGTGTAGGGGAGTCCCGTGGGGCCTGCAACAGTCTTGAGGCTTTATTTTTCTGAAGTTATTGGATTTTGATAATATTATAATGCTTCAAATTGTAGGTTTTTAATATTATCACTTTAAGAGGGATCTAAAATTCAAGCATAAACTATCATGTGTGAGTATATAAAATATACTCAGATCTAACACCAAACTTGTTCATTAAAATGAACAGCATTATATATAGGGCATGTTATATTAAAATTAAACTGAGATCTTTCTAATATCTACAAATTATTCCATTTTGTAACATCTGTCAAATATGATGCAATATATTCTATATAAAATCATATATTGTGTGTATAACCAAACCTTATCTCTCTATATATGTATACACTATATACTAGTAGATATGTAATTTTAAAAGTGAAATTCAATAGATGACATATCTCCAAAACTTTTTCCTACTGCTCTTTACCATTACAAGGTTATTTTTGCATTTTTTATAAAAATTAAAATAGTAAGTATACGTAAGTATACGTAAGAAAGTAAAAGTCTCTAGATGGACCAAAACAATGAGGTAACTGCCATTTTTACTTGGTGATTATATATTTATGAAAATTTTATGCATATATGAACTTATACGTGGTTATTTATTCCTATTCTTTTATGGCTAGTATTTCATAGACTGCTATCATCAATACCAAAAAGCAAATGTTAAATAAATTTCCCCATATTCCTATTATAATAGGCAAATATAGGTAGATGCAAGTGACCATATATTTGTGTTTGTACACAAATTCTTTTAAAATGCTGTACGAAATGGCCTTTAATTGTAAACCATTCTTTCTCCTTTTTGCACTCAACACTACTTCTTAGAACTCTAACTCAGTCCTTATATATCTGTACCTTTCCTTTCAGTAGCTTGGCTATATCATAATTTACTCTAGCATTACCGGCTTACAGGAATTCAAGTCGTTTGTTTCTTTTGCTATTATCAAATCATGAAGCCATTGATATACTTTTTAAAGTACCCTTATGTACAGTCTCTATGTGATAAATGTTCAGAGGTTTTTGAGTCACAATATATGTACACACTTAATTTGATATGTATTGCCAACAGCTTTCTCAAAGAGTTCTAAAAATTAAAATAACAAAAACAAATATCAGGGCATATTTTTATGACCATTTCTGCAAGTGGTAAAGGTTATTTCGGTTGAATTTTGCCAGACTGTTATGCCACAAGCAATATTTGTTATGTTAATTTGCATTTCCCTGAGTGCAGTAAGTTCGGGCTTACTGACAACTTGAATTTCCTCTTCCACGATTTACATACTCTAATCTTTTTATCTCTTGCGTTTCCTGTGTTTATCCCTTTAAGGATTCTGAGTATGTAAGAAATATTAATGTATTATCTTTAATAAAAATCAAAAAGTTTTCCAATCTAATATATTTTAATTTTATTCACAATATATGATTAGAGCTTTTAAATTAAGTGGAACTATCATTTTCATTATAATTTCTACATTAAACAATTTGAAAAACACACAACTGGGTCATCTTATAACTGTGATAATATTCCTCCATACAAAAATCATATCTATTATTAATCCCCAGATTGACTCAAGGATTACAAACCTGCCCCTAATCATTACTGCACACTCTAATTTAGAGCATATCACAAAGGGAGACAGGCTCTTAGAGAAAGCAGCACAGAAGCCCCAACCTGAAAAAAGGTTTTCAGGGAGCATTAGGGACTTGGTCCAAAATCAGACTCCTCACTCCTCACCATATGCCACAGAGAAGTTGGAAGAACCTGCAGCAGCCCTGGCCTGGGATCATCAAGGACACACGGCTGAGTTTCAACAAAACAAGAATTAACTAGACACAGACTAACAATGGGTTCAGATACTATATTTATTTAGAAAACAAAACAAAACAAAACAAAAAGAATTGAGGTGAAGGGAAGTCCTAGGATGATGGGAGGTGAAATAGGATTTGCTGTTAGGACCAAGGGTAAGATCTCGTCCTGTGCTCATGCCAAGGGAGCTGGGGCATACACAGCGCTGTGTGCAGTGACTGTCTAGCATTAGAAATCTGAATGTGTGCCCCAAGCATGATATATAGACCCAGCATGTTTCTTCAATGCATGACCCGTAACTTCTGTCATACATTATTGCCATTCAATCTCAAATTAAATACATCTTCAGGCAACCTTCGATGCCTTCCAAACTAAAGTAATCCCCAAAGTTATCATTACATAATTTGATTCTATTCTTATCATAATACCCATTATTGCCCGATGTTTGCTTGTCTCTTTCTTTCTTTGCTCTTTGTGTTTTGTTTTGTTTTGTTTTGTTGTTTTGTTTTGTTTTGTTGAGATGGAGTTTCCCTCTTGTCGCCCATGCTGGAGTGCAATGGCATGTTCTTGGCTCACTGCAACTTCTGCCTCCCAGATTCAAACAATTCTTCTGCCTTAGCCTCCCAAGTAGCTGGGATTACAGGCGTGCAACACCATGACTAGCTAATTTCCTATCTTTAGTAGAGACAGAGTTTCACCATGTTGGTCAGGCTGGTCTTGAACTCCTGACCTCAGGTGATCCACCCACCTCATCCTCCCAAAGTGCTGGGATTACAGGCATGAGCTGCCATGCCCAACCTTTCTTTGCTCTTTGCTTGTCAGTTTTCTGCCTCCCTCTCAGTAAATAAGCTCTAAGAGAAAGAGGGGGAAAAGAGGTTCTTTGCTCAACACTGTTTCACAGTGCTTAGAAGAGTGCCAAGCACTTGGTTAGTTCT